TTAGTTTTGTGTATGTGCTCAAGGTGCGAAGCTATTTGATTCCTAACTCCATTTCTGAAGACATTTAAACAGTGCAGCAAACAGTTAAACTCCTGAGAAAATGTGGGTATTGGATTATATTTCTTCCACAGACACTCATTCAAAACCAAATTTGCTTATAACCTTATCTGAATAAAGGCTGCCCTGGTTCTGAAATCTATAATGTTATTTCATTACCCTCACATTCAAACATGCATACAAATCTGACAAGCAGTAAATTCATTGGCTGAAAAGCATCCTCCACTACAGCAGCTGTATCTATTTTGGTATATTGTCTTGGAGGCTATGTCAACGAGCTTCTGTGTTCAAGTGCTCAGTATTCAAGTGCTCAAGTTTTTGATTGAAATTAGATTAATACTAATCTTCAATTATCAAGAAGTCTAATTTGTGATCTATTTCTCCTAACTCTCCAATAATAATAAAAAGTGCCCGTATTTATTTTAAATCTGACAAAAAAAAAAAAAACCATCTATCTGCTGATGTAAGATTTTTTTTAAAACAAAATTGTGAACATCATCATGGTTTCCCCCACTATTCCCCTGAATAGGATGTGAAATTAAACAACTAAAGTGTCTGATGTTATTGCATATGAAAACAAATTCATTTTCTGTACCTTGGAGACAAGACCTACCAGATGAAAATCAAATAAACTAATTAGTGTTGAGCAAAGAACATTTTATATATTATGACTCTCTGGGCTAATTTCACCCCTTTTCAACAACTCATTATATAAAACTCCTTAAATCAGTGGGACATAAGGCACTGTACTGAGAGCAAGGTCAATGAAACCAGACTCTTTCAGGATATAATGAATGGACACAGAATTCTCGAAGGGATCTTCTTAATATATGTCAGGAGCACCACAGATCACAGACTAGCGATTACGAAATAGACCTGTAGTCTCTTTCCCCCCCCTGCTGTTTTCATATTTTATTCTTTAATATTTCTACAGTGAAAACAAAGCTTTAATAGGATGAAGTTCCCATTAACAGCCTTCTATGTCATAGGAAAAAGGTAAAGGTGAACACAGAAAAAATCAGGAATATGTTCCTGTTTCATTGAAAAGGATAATGGATGAGTAGCCATGTAGTATGACTTACATTACTCCTTATTTTATGGAGATAGATTTTTCTATACATCTTTAGCAGCAGAATGCTGTGACGTATGCAGTTAGATGAGAGTGAAGGACTCAATAACATTCCTGAAACTATTAAATATATATATATATATTTAATAAAAGTTTTGTTTGTCTAAAGATTGTTTGTCTAAACTTATCACTGCAAGGTTTGTGCCTTTGAAAGTAGTGGTTTGGCAGTCATGCTCTGTAAACAGTTATGTTGCAGGTTTTCATACTCCATGTAAAGCTTTCATAGATTGTTTTGAAATACTGGTTTTCTTTACCATTTTGAAATGGCTGTAATGAAATCTCATCATAATTGGTTATCATATCTTCAAGTAATATACCGAATACATTTTGTTAAAACTGTGATGTCTTATTTACTCTCATTTTACATCAAATCACAGTCATTCAGTGCCAAGCCTGTGTGAAAAATGTTTCATTATATGAAGCAAGAACGAAATAGTCCTGACCTGGGAATTCTTGAGCCAACTGACATTGGACGAACTTTAGTTGAGTTAGTGAGTAACTTCAGGAGCTTTGATGAAGATATATATGTACATACCTGAATGTTTCAGAGACCATCTTTTAAATGTATAATCCACTGCGAGGAAAAATGTGTAGGTTGTTTTTGTATTGATAATATTGTTATGAATGGTTTGTGTAATAGGGCAGAAGGAGTTATCAGCCTGTGTAGATAATAGAGCTGAGTTGCTGATTCACTATAGTCAATGATTTATTTTTAATAAAGTCTGTAGATTAGTGTGACAGTTAGATTCTAGCATATACAACCCAGGATGTCATTAGAGATGCATTAGCAGAGAGATTATGAAATCCCACTGGAAAGCCAAGATATCAGGAAGCTTTATTTTGAATAAAAGAGGAACTAGGAGTTTTTAAGAAATAATGGAAAAGCTCAAGCAGATGTGGTTTAATTTGTAAAGAAGTACCACATCTGACAGAATCACTAAATAGCAATCCAAGTGCAGCAGTTATGAGAGTTAAAAGAAACAGTACTTTAAATTGTTCTGCTGTGACTGTCTTTCCACACTTGTCCTGGAAAAAGCTCCGTGAGAAAAGTTGTCTTTGGCTATTGGTTGGGCCTGGTGGGTCCATCAGGCTTTTACACTCTGAAATTACGTGGATAGCTGGGTATGCCATGCCGCATATATGCATGCATAATTATGATGCAAGACTGTGGCAGATAATTTTCTGAGACACCTGAGAATCTGAAAGAAAAAAAAAGGCTTAAGTGAAATCTCTCTCCTCAGGACTACATTTTATACATATACAGGACTACATTTATAACATAAAGCATTTTATGTTTTTGGAGGGAAATGTTTTTTGGAGTTAGGACTTAGAGACTCTAAGAGAAGCTATTGAGTTCCTGCGATAGTCTGTCCATTTCGAGAACCAGATGCACAGATATTTGTTCTGGACAGACTTGGAGGTCTTTAGGAATAACAGGAAAATTAACACAATTGTCTACTCAAAACAACAAGAAGAGCTAGGACTAAAAGTATTGGTCATCTTTTTTTGGGGTGGTATTAGTGGGTGCATCAGAAAGATTACCTTTTTTTTTTTTTTTCTTTGTTTTATTTTGGCAGTAAAGGGCAGGGGAATAAAATAATTGATTTATTATAATCTTCTCGGTGTTTTTTTAGGTTTCCTACGTTCACAGAGGCATGCATGCTAGTACTCTGTAGTCTGTCTCTAATGATTTTTGATGTGGTTACCCTTAAGAAGCTATTTTTCTGTGAACTGCTAGAGGATTTCATATCCTGAAGCATCTTTACTTTCTCCATTCATAACTAAATTGGAACACTCAATTTTGAAATAATAGTTAGTGTGATTTATTATTTACCAAGGCAGCACTGAAGAAATGTATTTGAAAAGAAGCCAGTAGCAAATTACAATCGATTTGCGCAATATAAAAAATAAAATGTTTTACAGACGCAGACTTGGTGTTTCAAGTTATGTGTGATCCATAATAATGTCTGCAAGATGTCTGCTTCTTTATTACTGTCAACAATTCATTAATCACCTTCTTACAAATAGGAAAAAAAAGGTTCAGACATCTAAGAAAGTGCTGATTATGGCTCTGTAGTTTATACATATTTTTCACAAAATGCTGTTGTTTCAGTAAAATATATATGAGGAATTAAAGAATTCAAGTGTTCTTGAAATCATTTAACATGGTTTTTTCTGTGATGGAATGGGGATGGTAATTATGATGATGGACTGCAATTATTTGACGTGTGGATTGGTGGATTTTAACAAATACAGAAGGTGGAGTGACTAATGATGGAGAAATAATTAAATTAATTCTAAAATACTGTGCATAGTTTGAGGTTCTTACAGCTAAAACAAACATTCATATTTATTTTCCGGGAAGTTAAATTAGTAAATTTTTGTAACTACAGAATGAATTTGGTTAATATCTTTTTGGTGTGCTTCTCATTATGTGTTGGGTTTTTTTTAATCTCCAGCTAGTGATTTTCTCCTGCATTTCAGTTAACATAACATAATTGAACTGTAATGCAATTCTGCGATTTGAGGAAGGACACTTCTTTCAAATGACAGGAATTTTGTGGCTAAACTTTTTGAGATAATTTAAGATTCTTTTTCCAGCAACATGGTTAAATTATGAGATCTTCATTGTCCCATCCTCTAGTGTATGTTTTCATGACTGTTCATGCATTCCTGAGGTGGTGAAGAAAGTAAATGCAAAAGATGGCCGAGTTACTAAAATGTAACTTACCTTAATAAGAGGCAACTGGACACAGACTAAGAAGATTTGTTGAAACCTCTGCTACTCAGTGTATGTGGTTCTCAGATTGTGCTGGACATTTATATGTGTCCTTTAGGTAACAGAGACGAGGCGCATCAGGGATGAGTTTTTAGCCTCTAGGAAAGTATAAATGAAAAATGACATCTACAAAGATGTTCATATATAAAAAGATGCAGACAAACTCTGATGGAATTATCTAAAGTCCCATGTTTAAACCAATTATTTTAATTACTATTAAGTGTACTGTCCATATAATACAGTAGAAAATGTTATCCATCACCAAGATGGATTCGTACGAGCCACTGTAAGTCTGTCCAAACTGTTCTCATTTATTTTTAAAAAATGAGTAGGAACATCCAAGATCTTACATCATGCACTGAGGAAACTAGAGTTAGTGGCATCTTATCCTTGAGAAAAGCAGAGACTTCTTTTCAAACACAGCTTGTTACTGTGGAGGAGATCATCTTACCAAAAAGACATTGGCTGACCAGGCAGTGCAATCTTTTGAGGCAGTTCTTTGATATGGTACCAGCAGACAGAGAACAATCTGTGTGTCCATTCCCTCTATGATTTTCCCAGACTTCAGCCTGGTTTCCATTCCCTGAGTTAGTTGTATTTCTAGGTATAGCCACGCATTTAGTAATTCGTAATGAATTTGTGTGTTCTATCCTGAGCTAAAGCAAAGTCAGTAAGAAAATTTAGCTTTTGTTCCTTTATTTCAGTCAAACAGATCTGGAAATAGAAAATGACATTAATATCTATTAATTGAACCATCAGCAAAGACTTAGCCACTGTTCATGCTAAATTGTGCTATTTCTGGAATGAGGATAATAGCCAGCCAGTACATCAAGACTTTAAAGAGCAAAAAGATAGTACCTTCAAATTCAATTTAAAAAGATACACTATAACTGAAGCAAAAAATAAACTAAAAGCTCTATTAAATCCGTGAGAATGTTTTCTGAGGGAAACATGACTTAACAGAGTTTTTATGAAATTATAGTCACTGTAATGATGTATCAATATAATTACTATTATCTAGTGTTTTTATTACAGGTAGTTTGGTAGAGAAAATGGAAAAACATGGAAGAGTATAATTCCACCAAAGCAATGGCTTCTTCTCTTTTGAGCTTCTATTTGCATAAGAAAACTGCAGCACAGATTTGTTTGTTTGAATGAGTCATTTGATTTTGGAGAACTGTCTTGGTTTTTCAAAGTCTTTTATTTTGGAATTAAACTCTGCATCTCGGACAAGGCAGACAGGCAGTTAATTAGACAAAAAAAAAAAAAAAAAAGGGCATTGACTGCGCTTGGGAAAAAAAATACACACTTTTATAACTAAAATGATTGCTGAGGATATGGTATTGATTTGATAGTTTTGCAGCTGAAAATGTTTGCTAATTGGAGAACCAATTCCATATTTGTATTCCCAGCACAGAAGCAAGAAGCTTCTGAATTAAGCATCAAGAGCAAATGCTTGCTGAAGGAAAAAAGAAATCCAATAAAAATCCAGGGTTTGATGATGAAATCCAGGATGAAACAGCAGTCTATTGGCCTTGTTCTGGGCATTCTAAAACTGCCATACAAATGGACAGGTAGAAACTGTCACAGAAATGAATTAAAAATTACTGTTAATGAATGCCAGTAGGCAGTTATGGCTGATCAAGGTAATAACATTTTTCAACTATGTTTTTCATCAAAATATTCCATGTGGTTTTAACTATTGTTCTAATGGTTAACAGTGAGGAGCAGAACATTCTGATGCGTTGCCTTCATTTTCACAGAATTGTTTCTCTTTTGGCAGACCATTGTGAAAGAGAACCAAGTAAACAGGAAGAGAAGACATTTTGCATATTTCCCTTTTTAGTTCTTGAAATTTTTAAAAATTCCAATAAAATGTCTAAGCAATATGAGAATTAGAACAGATCATTTTTAAAATTGGTGCGTTTTAAATTTTGCTGTGGATAGTTTTAATTATTTAATCAGGCTGCATTAACCTTGTGTTAATGCTCTATGCAAGAATGACAAGTCATTGCTCTTTTTTATTTCGCATGTCATTCAAATAGCAGAAAGTGTTTGGTGATCTACAGGAGCTGAATACTTGCAAGCTGCAAGTAACTTCTGGCAGACTGACACCAGTCACTTCCTTGCATCTGTTTCCCACTATGATATTCTCATTTCTGAAAAGGTGCCAGTCACTATCTCAGGTAATTCCAATAAGTATATGTCTAGCAGTATGAGAGAGAAACAGATCTTTAATAAATCCCCCCACAGCAATATGCTGCCAGCCCATCCTTTCTACCCCCCGAAAAATCCATGGAGGTGTGGGATGATTGCTAGAAACATAACATAAAATAAAGAAGTATGAAAAAAGAGCACTTGTTTCCTCCAATGTGTGTGCCCTGTGCCACTTTATATCCCTTTCATGTCCTTCCCTTCATCCCTACTGTCTCATTCCTTTTATTAATTGCTCTGCTTTTTTCCCTCTGCCTTTTCTTGCCTTTCTTTTTCTGCAGAAGTAAAACTTCTACTCTACTAATTCATTTTTACTCAATCATTTTTCTTTTCTTCATTGTCTCTTGACCGTATAAGACTCCTTTCCTCTACCCCAGAGATAGTTTCTCATTTTTCTTACTTCACTCCTTGTGGTATGTGTGCCCTTCCTTCTGTATCTAATTCTTTCTATGTCACATGCATTCTGTCTTACTGACCCCCTTCTGCTCTTTCTTTTCATGCTCTGCTCTTTCTTTTTATGTCCTGATTGACTTCTTTCCTACAGCTTCTACATAATTCGTCCTGATTTCCTTCTCTATGTCTACCACAGTGCACAGCTGGCACATCCAGCTGTGTCCCTCCTGTTTTAGTTTTGTTGTGTCATTTCAACTTCTGAACTTCTTCCTTCCTTCCTTCCTTCTACCATCTCACTGGGCTGCACCTGTAGCTACTTTTCTGGTTTATTCTACTCTAAGGGCAAAAAGGGAAAAGAATTACTTGAAAGCATGGCCCCTTTCAGAAAAGAATGAGTTGGTGACATGCCATTGCACTCAGTGTCCTCTCCCTGTCCACCAGAGCATGTCAGAGGCTGGCTGTGAAGAATGGAGGATTCATGGCTGGTGCCTGCTGTGCTCTGATTATTCTGTACTTCCCAGAACTGCAAGAAGCAGGGTATAATTAGATTGGCAATGAAGCTTCTTACAGTTTGGAATCATTTGTTATTCCCACTGATGGTTTTGTATAGTGAAAGGTTGGTTTTATTTAGAAAGACAGTTCTAGAATTCCAGTATGCCAATCATAAATTGTAAGCCCAAGTTTACACTCACTAGAAAAGAAATGTGGGTTGTTTTTCCCCTTAGGTTTTAACTTGGATGACTAATAGGTTAATCCCTACATGTTCAAGCCTTCTTCTAATCTGTGAAGGTCCAAGGCCTAAATCTAGATGTCTTTGACAGTGATGAACTGTTAGATAGGATGGCTGCATCTGTACCAGCCTGCGAACACTCTTGTTCACGCTGTCAAATCGTTAATTACTGGACAATTTTTGGCTCATGGCAACTTAATTAGCATCTACTCAATGCCTGACCACAATCTGTGGATTAGCAGGAACCAGCCCCAAGAGGCATTTGGGATAGGACTTCTCTGTTTTGGAGATTGGAGATAGAATTTACCTCAATGGAAACAAGCTGTGGCTGTTAGTTGGCTGAAGGGCCTGAGAACAATTTCTGGATTTTTTTCCTTACTAACATATGAGGCAAATCTAATCTCTTGCTTCCTTATTTTTTCATTTTATTGCTCATATTTCTAACAGCAGCTGTAATTATTTATACCAACGATCATTTTAACTCAGTGTCACCTCTCCAGTAGTAACTTCCCCTGGTATTCATAACAAATGCAAATGATGTGTTCCTCAAAGAAAGCAGTGTAACGGTGGTCTTCTCCAACTAATTTACTGATCTTTTTAGCTTGTGCAGATTTCCTGTATGCACAATATCCTTTGTCAAGATTTACCATCAGCTGTTATGTAGAGAATCACCTCCTTTTTTGCTTCACTGAGCTTAGCTTCTAACTTCAGCTTTTAGAGCTTGTGTGCAAGAAGCAATAAAAGGCTCACTGCTATCCTTAATCTGTCATTTATAAATGTGTTGAGGAGTGCAGATCTTAGTGCAGACTGCTGGGGTTGTCTACTGCTTATCTCTCACCTTTGTAATAGCTGATCATTTGTGCTTTTACCCTCTCTTGTCCTTTTACCAGGAGATATGGATTTTTTGTTTGGGTTTCACTCAGTACTGGTACTGTGCAAAGTAATGTACTGTTTTTAACCTAGTCCAAGTTGCATAGCACCCTATGGACTTTTATTCAGGCAAATCATTCAAAATAGTCCTTATGTGCCTGAAATTCTGGACTGGCAGAGAGATGATTTGAATATGTCAATAGCAACAGTGTTTTACTAATAGTTGAACTAATTCTTCACTCCCTTCCCTTCACCAGTATAGTATGTCAATCTATTATTAATGTTACTTATGAGCTTTTTAAATCAGTAAAATGAGCAGCACTGGACAAGCATGGAACATATTTTGGTATATACCAAAAGTTTCTGTTCCTTTCTATAGTAACTGAATATATAAATGTCTTTCTTTCTTTTGTTAATTTACTTCAGAGCTAATAACTATCAGCAAGGCAAGGATTTTTAAAAATCTTTAAATGAAATTCAGTGTTTTGTGTCTGTTCTCTCCTGTCTACTGCTTCTTCCATGCGCCTTAGAAATGGGAAAGGCCTCCCAGTGCCAAAGAGCACTTTCCTGTGCTCTTCTACAGGCAAGACCCATATGATGAGGTACTGAAATTAGAAGCTCAGTTTTTTGCTAGGGTAATGTTAACACTTAGTATGTTTTCAGGTTTCATTTTTTTGTGAGCATTATCAGTTTTCCAGATGCTCAATCCATCACTATTTGTAAAATCATTTCCAGTTAACTCTGCAGTTTAACAAGGATTGTTTCTGTCTTTATGAGATGTACTTGTCATTGACCCATCTCCTTCACCTTTTGCTGCAGAAAGATAAATTATACAAGCAATTTATTCTATTTAGAAGTTAGTATTGGATGTGTTTTGCTAAACCTTGAGTTCTACATATTTGAAGAGTTCAAAGTTCAAGATGACAGTGTAAATCTCAAGTGATTTGAATTTTCTATATTCTTAAGTACTGTTTATTCTCAGAGAAGATTCCCATCTGATTTTGCATATGTATTAATTAATGTTTGAGACTGAAAATAGTTGTAGACTGCTAACATACAAAGTAAGTAGAAAATTATTGCATTTTCCAAGAACATTAAAGTGTTAGACGTTTATCTCGATCAGTGAATCTTAACTCAGTTTTTAATTTCTGTAAGTACATTTCAGAGCACTCTGGTTACGAGACTGCGGATGACAAGTCTTTATTCTAATCTCAACTCTGTTTCTATTTTACTAGCAAGAATAAATTTCTAACCTCTCCACACTCACCTTTTGAATTATAATGACAGGCTTATCAGTTTTTCTCCTGGGAGATAACAAAACTTAGCCAATTGGACTTTTTTTGTAACAAGAAACCATATGGTCATTTGAAAATATTTTGTTTCCACTCAGAGAAAATAACATAATTGTGAGACTTCATGGCTGTTAGAGTACAGGTTCTTCATACATAGGGCTACTTGAACCTGCATTTGTAGTCAGTGTGTAATGAACCTTCCTAACAATCAAATGACAGTTTTAGCAGAGATGTGTTATGGCGAAGGAGTCAAAAATATGGTGGCTAAATTATTAACACAAGATGATTATACTATAATATGTATATATTCTTGTATTTAAATATATTTATTTTATTTAAGTATATGTGAATATATAATTATATACTTACAGATTCCTTCTTTTGACTTAAATTTAAATTTGCTGCTTTTGTTGTAACAATAAGAAGAGATTATCAAACCTGATAATTCTCTTCTAAGATCCACAGAACATTAGAACACATTCAGTGTGCACTGTGATAATTTACCAAAGGAGTATCAAAGTGTATCTATGGATCTCATTTTTAAATGGCCAAATACATTTTGTACTTTTACCTTGGCACTTCTAACTGGTTAAAAGTCTCTGAAATTCAGCATTTTGAAATTTCTACTGGGATAAATATTATTTAAACTAATTCTTACAGTACATGAGAGTAGATATTACAGAGATTTGAGATTCCTGTGGTTTCTAAATCCCGGTACTGTTGCTTTATTTTACACTTATTGTATCAGCAACTTTATCTGGAAAGGAAAGGGGATAAAACATTTATTTTGAAGAGATTAATTATGTTCCTGATTTTAAGTATTTCTTACGTATAAGCTTGGAATTGTTTCCTTTGTAGCTTCAGAAGCCATTTTGAGATGTTGGTTGAGTAACATACTTCCATTCATATTGCTTGTTAAGTTAGCAAGCATTTAAATGTGATTAAAAAGAGTAATTGCTTAACTTGGTAAATCTATGTGAAGTCTCTAAGACCATGTCAGAGCTAATCATGACAAAGTATCTTTATAATTCACTGCATTTGGATTTTAAATAATCTATTACTGTTTATAATCTCACATGTATTTAAGAAAGAAATTAATTTGCTAAGAGAGCATGTTTAAACAGCATTCTAGATGTAACAGCAACAGAACAAAAGTGATGAAATAGAGAAGTAAGGCTCACACATCATTTTAATCTGTTTTACAATAAATTCTGGAGAGCTTTCAGATCACGTTCCAGTTACAAATGAGCTACTGAAGCAGTGCATGGAAAATGAGTTAAGGAAAAGACTGATATTGTCTTGTTTGTTTGTTTTTCTCTCATCAGTTTTACCATAATATTTGTAAAGGTGTTTTTTTTTTTTTCTTTTTAATTAATAAACTTAGAATTTTCTTATAAAGTTGCATTAAATTGTGTGAACATTATGTAAATTTAAGATCTGTTTACATATAGTGGCAGAGAAAGTGTTGGTCTGCCTTTGTGCTAAATGCTGCTAATTGAAGTGACCTCTTTTCAGTGGATTAGCAATTTATTTCACTATTTAAGAGCTAACATTACCTCCTGATCTTGAAGTTCAATTAGTAATTTTCTTTTCTTAATCTAGATTAATCTAGAATTCAGCAGAATTTATTTTCTCTTTAAAAATTTACCTGCTGTTTCAACTGTGTTCTCTAGTAAGAATTCAGTAGAATATTTAATGCTTTCTTTTCCAAAGAAAAGAACTCAGACTTTTTAGTTGTAGAAGTCATAATTTTCTGATCCAAAGTCACAGGAAAAGGACAATTAAGAACTAGATCAGAGAAATGTTTGACATCAAACTCATTCAAATATAATAAACTTTTAATGCATATTTTCCCTCATCCTTTTTTTTTATTATTAATTACTGCTATGTAAAATATGAATAATGCAGAAAATAAAAATGAATTTATAGAATTACCTTTTTAGCTTAGTAAGGAAAAATGTCCAAATAGATATTGTTCATTATGAAAAGGATAATTATTTTCAAATTATTTTACCAGCTAATGAACAGATGCTTCTGCTCATATTTCTGCTGTGAATTCATGGGAGTTGAGATAGTTGTTCCTTAAATTTAAAGCTTCGGAGAAGTACAGTCAGTGATCAGTTTTTTTCTTCATTTTACTCAATATCAGATCTATATCAGGTTCTCCTATGCCAACTAGCAGTGTGCTTAGAGGAGCCAATTTCTTGTTACAGCAGAAACTCCCCTAGAAAAGAAGGAAGTTGCAGGCTGTGCCCCTTTTATTTCCAGCACACAGAATGGCAGTGATCTGAAGAGCAAAGGAAAACTGTGAGATGGGAGAACATTGGAATCATGGAGCACAGGTACTCCATAAAAAAAGTGCTATTATTTTTGAAATAGGGTTAACTGTACAGCCCAGCCCCTGCCAGATCCCAGTAACCTCAAAAAACTAATGGCTCAGAAACATAATTTCTTTTCCAAAGTGCTCTCCAAAATTTGTCTTTCATTTATATCCATCTCATAGGTCCTTGGCTGATTAAGTGGTTTGAATCTTCAAGCTTAAATAGCCTGTGTATATCAAAGGAATGGGAAAACATATGTACCCATATAAAATTAGGGGATACCATCTCTCTTTTGTGCTGAATAGATGTCATCTAGCCAGCACCAGATGGAGAAGAACCATAAATCCATTCCTGGCTTACTCAAAAAAAAATGTCTCTAGTCACATTTTGTTTGAAATTCCAGGTCCTTCTCTTAGTCCTGCTCCCTTGATCTTTGTCCAAGCAACAGAACATATGAGAGGGTCAGTGTCCTCTCTGGCTTAAGCTGAAATCATTTGTTTAGGCAGCTTTTCCTAACCAGCACTGAAACCTGCTATTCCGGATTATTTTTGCAATTAGCAATTTGGCAACTTCTTTTATCTAAAGATGCCACAGATGCTGCAAACTCATTTAATCAAAATTGAAGATTCATTTTCTTTGTGCTTTGAACCACTGATGTGTCATCTCAGTTCTTTACTGCTTGTCCTGTGAGTATAACACCAGATGATAACAAACATTTACCAATTTCAGTTTACACTGTATATTCTTATATTTTCTGCTTTAAAATTTGGATGGGTACCAGACAGCTAATGTATTTTTTGTAACTGAAATCTTCATGTTCTTCATGATCTTCCAAAGACACATTTCAGTTCTGTTTTGTAGCATCTTAATGATTTATGCTACTCATTGTACAGGTTTTAAAATAATCTCCAAAATATTTGCTACCCTGGCTACAAGAATCATTCAGTGACAACAGGCAGGAAGCACTCTGAGATAATGCTACAAGAATTATTTGGGAGATTTGGCAGTCAATATTCACTGTAGCTATGAATGAACCAGTTTATACAGGGAAAAAAAAAAAAGAAACCTCCTCTAAAGTACTGTGGCTTCCCTTTTAACCGCATCTTTATTTCATAATCAGGTCTTTATACTGTGAACAATTTAGAATGTCTATATTGATTAAACCGTAGGAGTCTTCACTTTAAATTCTATCTGGTATTCTGCAAACTATAATGAACATTACCGAATGCATGGCATCTTCTGGGAAACACCTTGAGATTATCAAGTTTAATTTCCCCTAGGAAGTTCTTACAGCAGTGCAATCAAGCTAACTTTTACTCTCTGTAATGGAGTAAGATTTAATCTACAATTTTCCAGCAACCACTATTTCCTTATTTTTTATTCTTCAGAAAGAGCTGAAGAATGGAGTTTTGCTCTGATTTTAGGTTACTCTATACTTTTTTCTGTAGTGCACCATAATGAATATCCTGCCCTTTTTTTAAGTATGCTGAATGAGTAGAAGCAGGTGAAACCCTACAGTTGGTAAGGAATTTATGTAAATATTGCAATTAAATCTTGTCTGTAATAATAGGTGACCTTTAATCTAGTTTATATTGAGTCACCTAATCTCTCAGATTCTAATTGAGTGATGAAGATGCAAGGCTTCATGAAAGGAAAGGAGATCACAAGAAAATAATGATTTTTTTGTGTAAACCATGATTTTCCAATTACTCCTCTCAGCTGGGACAGAAAAAACGTCTAACTTGTGATATGTTCTGATCCAAAATTAATCCCTTTGTAAATGTGTGTCTTTAGATTAAAGGTTACTTTGGCTTTCTTCCATGTAAGTTCTCAGCCCTTTTGGTAATATTAGTGCTATCTTTTTTTTTTTCCCCAAAACATTATTAAAACATATTGGTAAGTAATGCTTTCAATAATGCAGAGAAAAACCCGGATAAATAATAATTAAAATGGCATGCAAGCTTTCTTTATTCAACTTATGTGGTGACCTTGGGTAAGATTTGGAATAAGATTTGTGTGGCAAGAAATTCCAGTGAGATATGAGTAGAGACATTTGCTGCACCTTTGCATCACAGAGAGGAATTGGAAAAGATTGGATATACTCACAGTGTCTGTATACATGCCATTAGGATCATGCAAGAAAACTGTGAAGTGTCACAGAGATCTTGTTTGTACAGTAGTTTGAAATATAATGATAACAAGTGCTTTATGCTGCAGTAGCGTTACCTTTGTATGTTAAAAGTGTAATTTTTTCTTTTTCACAAGGAAGCTAAATTCAGCCTCGCAGTGAAGACAGAGAGCTTATATTTTATATGGCAAGAACAGAAATCAGTGCACAAGGGAAAGATTACATTTGGTGTGACAGTCTTGAAAAAGAAAAGGGTTTTGGAGAAGCCAATCTGTGTAGGACACAGATATATTTGCCAAAACCAGAAAGAAGAGTACTTTGAAATGTCATAGAGAAGCGCTCAAACTTCAGTTTCAACAGATGAAGACAGATCCCAAGAAGAATGTAAAAATAGGCTTGTTCAGCTTAGACATGATGGCTAAATTTGAGACTTTCCTGTGAAGAGAGAAATTTGAGAGAAATCCTTGCAGATTCCCTATCCGTAGGTGAAAGAACATTAATACATGTCCTATGAAGGATAAATTTGAAGTTTCAGGAAAAGCAAGGGAGTTGACAAAATATCAAATGGGAGAAGATTTTAAGTAAATGGTAGGCCAGTTGCTGTTTAAGAGGGCTGGGCAGGGAGCAGATAAAGGATTAATTCTCCATATCTAGTTCAAAGAGACCATTAGAAATTTTAATTGGTTTCATTGGAGTGAAAGGGATGGGTATCTGAACTGAAAGAGAGATCAGAAGATACACTGTAAATAAAAAGCTTCAATGAGTACAGAAATGAGTCAGATAAGAATTGGAAAAAAAATAACTGAAAACACAAACATAACTGTGGGGGGTGTTTTTTTTTAAAGAAACCTCATTTTTCCTGTAGAGCAAATGTGAAAGAGGTACAAGAAAGTAAAGATTTAAAGAGAGGTTACCTTGCACATATTGACATTATATAGGGAGAAACTGAAGCAGAAATAAAGAAGCAATCGAGAAAACAGTCAGAAACTGTGGGAAGGTTAATGGGTTTACAAGCATGGGTTTAAAAAGGGGAGTTGTTAATATCTGTTTAGAAAAGTGGCAGAAACTAAAAAGTATGAATCTCTAGTACTGTATCTGCAGTAGTAATGACTACTAAAGTAGCTGTGGGAAGTCATTGACAGCAGAGCTCAAGATGACAACAGGAGCTGAATGACACAGACATCGCTGCAGAAGGTGCGGGAAGAAGCAGACTCATCTGCAGGAGATGGCAATGCAGTAGGCAGAGATTGTGCTTGTTTGCTGAGGGATTAAACTTTTTTTCTTCCTAAAACGCTACAGAAATGTTCCATCAGGAAATCTCCCTCGTACACAACATGGTGCCTCTGTGAACACAGTCAGGAAGAGTTTGCTGATATACTTGCACTCCTTAATTACTTTTTTCCTAGAAATAGTTGCTTTCGTACTCTCCAATTCTTGTAGCTGTTTGCTAAAAATAAAGGGACCTGACAGTGAATGCAAGTTTCATAAATGCAAATACAGCTTTGCAGTACAAATTAAAAATGTGGCTTGAATTAAAATCATTGATAGTTTGTAGGTTGTTCATGTTGTTTGTGTAGACCCCTAATCACTTGAGGTATGTCTAAGCTTTTTAGCTGATACTTAGTGCATTCAAATCAGTAAATTGATCTCTTGGGTACAGAGCAATTCAGTGTACCTTAGGTCACAGTGCATAAAGTTACTTTTGTTGCTATCTACAGATTGTCTTGACATGCAGCATATACCCACAGGTTCAGAAAAATTGCCCTTTGATTACATGTACAATAATCTGGATCTCCCAAGGTATTCAAGTGGTTAATTAAATATCAAGTAATTGCTAAAACTACTAAGTGACATTTAATTAGTATGTTAATTGATATCAAATTTGCTCTCACTATCTTGTTTTATGTTAATAAAATCCCTAAACATTTCTTCAAAATAGATTAGGAAGCAATGTGCTTCAAATATACTAATTCAGAACAGCCTTAAGCATTACTTCTGCTTGTGGAACATACTTTCTGAGTTTAATTTTTATCACAGATGTTTTATTTTGTCTATCTTTAAACTTACTTTTTGCTAAGAATGCATCATATCTAGTAGTATAGACCTCTCTTGGAATGGATTTTAGTTTCTATAAGCACATAATCCCTTAGAAATCTATGTGAAGTGTGATAAATGTTAATAGAAGTCTAGGGCTGCATCTCTTCCCTTTGGCACCTACCGAGTAGAGATAGTCGGGTGCTGTGGGGACTGCTTGGCGCCTCCAGTTGGCTAATATGAATGATGTATTTCTGTGCGGACATCTGATTTGGGGTTTAGAAATCTGTGCTCCACACATAATACAAAACCACCATAAATGTATTAAGTGCCTGATTATTCTGCAGCAGTGAAATTTTGCTGTGGGGTTAGCTCGCAGAGTGCTCCCCTCCTCCTCTCCATATCCTACCCAGGAAACAGCCCTACTGTAGCTTTCACATTGAGCATTCCAAAATTCTCATTGCTTTCCTTTGCTGAAGAAACCAACTGTGATGTAGAAAAGAGATGCCTTTAGGCCTGGGTCCAAAAAAAAAAAAAAGACTGACTGGAGTTCAGGCCGACAATAGCCCCAAGCCTGTCCTTCCTTTCAACCACTATAGTGCTCCCTATGGTCTCATCAAAAACAGGTGAGCAGTCCAAAGTTGAAGCTAGTAGGGAGGAAGTTGTTTTCATAATGGTTAATTTGAAAACATACTGCAAAATATTTCCATGAATATTCATATGAATATTTAAATGAATTCCTTTCAGCTGTGCTCATGCCTTTTGTGTGTGTGTTTTCTGTGGAGTTCCTTTTCCATTTTATTGGTGCCAATGCACAGAGAGAGTTGGTTTTACATATGAGATCACAAAAAGGAAAGTTTAATTTATTCTCCATGAGCATTCACACCCAATTACTTCAGAAGAGTCCAACTGGGAAGTAGAAACACTGATTTATGACCACACACGACTGAACTGCATAGCTCAGATTCCAATCCTTCCCAACTTCAAAATCTAGAATATCCATATAAGCAACATAAGCACTATAAACACTGTGAAGGGGAAACAGGTTGAGGAGGGACTGTCAGAGAATTTTAAATTATGAATAAAGAAAAGTGTGATCTGTTTATTCATGGATATGTCACAAAAAAAAATAAAAAAGGCAGAAAATTGGTAAAATAAATTATTCATTAAAAAGTATTCAGCTGTAGTTATGTGTCATCCAAATACTGTTATAGAATGAAGAATACTGCAGAATGATAATGATAGGTGGAAGTTGACAGTGATTTTCAACTTTTTTTATTGATTTATTTGAATTTCTGTGCTTTTTTATATGTGATGTACCTAAATTTCATAGCTTCTCACAATTTTTTGAAGTTTTCTGTTTCTCTGAATATATTTTAATAATCCACATTTACTAATACAAAAAGCTTGTAATCATAGTGTAGTATTTTAAATCTTTTATAATACAAAGTGAATTTGTTGCTGCTATTTGTATTTTAAGTAGCCTATCAGTTGATAAAGAAAGTCAATACTGACACATATTTGTTAAAAAAAAAAAAAATCTATAGATAAACTTTTCATTGGCATAAGTATTGGTACCTGAAGTTCCTTTCTACCTTCTCCATTCTCAACCAGTGTTAACATGCCTAAATGTCTGGTCATGGTCCTTATCACCAGCAGGGGTTCTCTGTTCTCCCCAGATCTGCCTTCCACCTCATATTATTTAATGCCTCGAGCCCATCTTCAAGTCCAGCTCCAGCTAGAGTGTCTCTGACCACCTTTTCTCTGCCTCCATGCTTCCTGAGCACCAACGGAGGCAGTGGATCGCAATATACCATGCCTCTTCCTTTTCATACGAAGCAGTTCCAAGTCACTGCCAAATCATTAAGCAAATGACTGTATTCTGAATGCCCCATAGGAATTCAGTGGAAACTACTGCCTGACACAAAAGCAAGATGCAGCTAATCAGCTGCTTGCTGCAACACAGCAGCTTTGCTCCCAGAGCACCACTGGGAATGCCAAAACAAATCCCACTTATCTGTGTGATAGGTAGCCCGTTGCCTTCAGACATGAATCTTAAGCACTTCCCTCATTATGGCAAGATGCACAGGTAGCAATGCACACATAGCATCAGGACCTTTTTCTTGCTCCCGCACTGGCCAGATCTATGCCCCTGTTCTTCCCCCTTCACTTCAATCATTTTACAGTTGCGATTTTCCATTCTAATAATATCCAAACCTTATTGGTTCCTTTTTACCTCTGCATGCAGTCATGCTCTCTAGTCATTTGAAATTGAATTAATGAATGCTATAATGTTATGATTTATGTACACTCTTAAGGATATCGAAGGAAAGAAGTATGTTGGCATGAAAACCTGGTAGCAAAAGGACATTACATTTCCCGACTGGCAGAGGTAGAAGTTCTTCCATGCTCATTTCATTATACTATCCTTGGCAGGATAACGTGAGCTTGAGATCAACCTATTTACTTCCTTAGAGATTTTCTTATTCATGTTCTTTTTTGTTGTTGTTGTTGTTGTTGTGTTGTTTTGTTTTGTTTTGTTTTCTATAGAAAACAGTAATTCTTGTGATAAGGACTGGAGTATGATAAAGGTCTTTTTTATTTATAAGTTTCCAGTTGCTTCACTTATAGTTTGAAACAGTTCTTGCAAACTAAACTACATAGCTTGGAGTAGAATGGTGATTTGGACTGTAAATATTCCAGCACCAGTATTAGTGCATTACAGCATTGATTTTTCCTTTTTCGTTCCAACTAGAAGAGTAACCAGTACTTACTAAAAGCTTTGCTTGCAGTTTCATAATTTTCTGCATGGCTAACATAATTTCATTTGTTTCAATTTCATTTTTTTTCATAAGGGAAATATATTGCAGACCACTAATTACAAAGGGATTCATTTTCTTTAAAGTCCAGTAAGGTAAGAAAACATTTGACATTGGTTTATAAATGATTGAAGTTTTCTCAGCATATCGTACATTTGTATGTAGTGAATAATATCTCATGTGTACATGCAGTTTTCAGATATCATAATAGTATATTTTGTATGCACGTTGTCTGTGCACACATTTGTATAATTTTCTGATTCTTGGTTTGTTTTAATGAGTTTTGTTTTTATAATGAATGCATCTACCAACTGTGAAAATCTACACATCACATCTACCCACATAAATAAGAACAGTGACCTCTCCGTGTATTTAAATATATAAATACACAACAACTTAAGCCTGAAAAAAATTCACAGGCAGTAGAGTGGGAGTCTTCAAATGGGAATCTGTCAGAATCAGGCTCAGAGGTAGTTTGTTTGACATCCTGTGTGTGATCATTGCTCTTACTACTTTGCAAACTGCTCCTGGGGAAAAGGGTCCTTTTGACACCCTCTTTATTAAATCCCCAGTAGGCATAAGCACTGCTTAAGTTTACTGTAAAATAGTCCTGAGAGATTATTAGTTTAATTAGAAAGATTATTGCTATATAAGTACTCTAGAAGGTTGTTTTTATATTTTAGAAGATTCCTGGTATAGAATTCAAGTTACTTTGCAATAATGTCTCTATTTTGAAATCTTTCTTCAGTAGAATAAAACCAACAGGTTTTGCTACAGATTCTTGCAGTTTTCAGGATAAGACTGAATATGTGTTCCATCACGATGAATCTTTCACAAAACCAGGCCAGAATTGTTACTGGCTAAAGAAAAAATTATTCTCTGGATAAAATCTGTTTTGAAATACTAAAAACAGATTTTCAATTATCCAGAAGAGATGATTTTTTGAAGAAATGAGTTCAAGTTACTACTTACTACTACTGAGTGTATTTCTCAATATCTTTTGTGAAGTTCTACTGAAGATCTATAAAATAAAGAGAAAAAAAACAGAAACAAAGATGTGGTGGCTAAATACATAGCAGAGGTAAACAAACGATCTACCCCTGCAGACTGGAGAGAGTTGATGAGTGTTGTTTTCATTGATTTAAGTGATTTCTTAGATCTAGACATTCCTCATTTGCAAGCCAATAAATAAATATTTGAAGAAATTTACTATTAAAATCTTCATGAAGACAAGTGTAATGGAAAATCCAACAAAATCATGTTTCAAAGTGTATGAGAAACATTTCCCTCAAGCATTTCATTTATAGAAAGAGCAAATACCTAATATTTGGCCTAAGAGAAGGTCTTAATAATAAGGATGTTTCCCTGTACTTCTGAAAGCAACTGCAGAGAAACTTGGCTTCTCCTACTGATCCATATCTGTTTTAAGATAGAATTGTCTGGTCTCTACGGCTGCTAATTTGCCTTCTTCCATGGGCATTAGATTCCTATTAAAGAAAAAAATACAACTTTGAGATGAGCTCTTCTGAGCTCCTATCTAAACTACTGAGAAAACTTGAGCGAGGGGATGCTCTTTTGTGCTGCACTTTCACGTCTAAAAGCATTTCTGCTTTAATTCATTCTCTTTACTTCTGCTGTGCTGAGTATTATTATAGTCTAGTGAGTTCCTGAAAGTGGGAAATGCCAAAGAAACAGGTGTCAGACTTCAAAAGAAGAATTTGTCAAGACTTAATGTTCTGAAGCTAAAGGTGACAGCTCAACCTAAATAAGCTCTTCTCAACAGGATTTAAGTTTCCTTAATAAAAGAAGTAATCATCGAAAGTAAACTGCTAATCTAACAGCCTAGAGAGTAGTTTTTAAAAAATGTACATCATTTGACAAGATATCTTGATTTAAAGACTATTTGCAGTGTAGTGCTTATAGTCCAAGGTTATTTATATTCCCCTGATAAGGCAATTTATGATCTACAAAACACAAGTCTGCAGCATGAATGTTTGTGGGGATATTCATGGGGCTGGTTGGTCTTTGCTTGCCTTGTGGTAAGGGTAGATTCTAGAAGAAAAACACTACAGAAAGAGCAAGGAATTAGTAGAAAAACAGTCCTAATAAAAGTAAATATTTTTTCTTTGTGTTCCCTCTCCCATCCATCCAGTAAATAATAATAAATAAGATAATTGCTGTTAAAGGGAAACTTACTGAAGAACAGAGGAAAAAAAGAGCAATATGAGTTATATATATATATCCTGCATACTATTTTTCTTGTTAAGTCTTCACTATGTTCATAAATATTATCCAGGCTGGCAATTTATCTGTTTCAATATACATAATCACCAAGAATATTAAATAAGATTTAAGAAGCATAAGTAGCAGCATCCACTATTTCAGAAAAACAGTGCTGTCAGTTTTGATTAAAAGTCTGATAGCATCGTAAATGGTGCCTACTTTGTGACATTTTGAAGTCATGGAAAGTAGAGCTACTCATTAGCAGTATGTGCTAGTGGTATCAGAATACAGCCTTTTTTTTTTTTTCCTTTGAGTCATTTTCCATGTTCATTGATCAAAATGGATACACCACATCATTCTTGTCTCTACTTGACTAGTAATATAAGCAATCTATGAGCGGGAAGTCCAAGAGGAGCTGTGTTACCCTCCATTTTTTATTCATCAGACTTTTTTTTTTGTAACAAGCCATTGCTTTTTGTAAGCATTTATTTGTTAGTTACCTTCAGCACTATCTCCCTAGCATTTAACTACATATTTGGTCCTTTACAAAGAGGGCAGTTAAATAAAGTTGGCTGGTTGTGTTACCAATCTTACCCAAGGATTTGGCATATTACTCTTTGTGTACGCTTCTTTATAAATCATGCTGATATTGATTTCTCCTGTCATTCATTCCCACTTTTTGAAAATCTTTTATTATGTTTTGGGTTTGGATTTTATCACTTTTGTCAGAGGTTTAATTTTGAAGGACGTACTTGCCTATATTTCCATACAACACCAGTTAGTAATTTCAGTTACTTAGTAATGAATATGATTTGTTTCCATTTCAGAAGAATATTTTTATAGGCTTAATGTGTTTCTGCATCCAAAGCTGTTGTACAGATTCATCAATCCATTTGTAGGCTGTAGCAAAGATATTATCAGTGGCTGTGGGGGCTCAGGAGTTACCACTGCAGTTCTCCTTTCCTTCAGGTGGTAAGTGTGGCAGTTCTAGCTCCCATCCTGTAACAAGTTGTTTATAGAGATGGAAGGATGCTTGGACGTTTCAAAACTGCTTTTTGCTAGTATTAGTTGATGTAGAGGTTTATATTAGGAAACCTTATATTTTATATAAGCTCCCACAAACCTTGCTTTGTCTGTTCAGACATCCTATAATTAAAAGACAGTGAGTCTTATGGAAACAGTCAGATGAAGCACACTCTCAGTGTGCATTTTCTCAGTATGCTTGGATTTATCCATCAAAAAAATGACTGTAATTCCTTACCACCAACAATTCAGTAATCAGCTGTATGTGCTTGGTGCTGTCTGCAGACTGTGTGGTTAGCAGTATGATGTATTTTTTAAGGAAAAACAAAGTCTTGCCTGTGTGAAAGTGCTGATCAATATATGGTCTGGTCATCAATGACACTACAAGGTCTAAAGGCATAGCTGTATACATAAGGTATGTGAAAGCACCCTGATATGGATAAGCGTATTCATGGTCTTTTTGGATGCATTTAGTTAGTCTTTTGACTGGATCAGGGTTATGTACAATAAAGAAATAATGGGTGTGCATGTATTTGTGTAACAGTGCTACACTAAGATGAGTAAAAATTGGGCCTTGAGGACATAAGAATAGAGAGCTGCAGATTTTCATTGTTCTGATGAAGTAAGGCAAAACAAAAGTATCTGCACGGAAAAAAAAAAATAATAATCATGTGATGCTCTTGAATGTTTGCTTTTCTGGAACAGTATAGTTCCATCTTCTTGTTCAGCATTTGTCTATGATGGATGATGTGACTCAAAGTCGTCCATAAATTCTAGTGGCAAAGCAGCACACAAGAAAAATAGCTGAATTTTACTGATCTTCACCCTAGAATGGCTTTTTTCCAGTTATTTCCTTATATTTGCAGTTTGTACTTTTGCACATTATCAGAGGCAAGAGGTTTCCATCAGGATGAGCTAAGGGTATGTTTTTCTGCAATTACTATATTGATTGATTCCTACATTTCTAAGGTAATAAACACATCTTCATAAAATTTTGCTCACATTAGAGTATCTGTAATATCACTCCAATTAATTTTTATTCTCCTAGTACCTCATTGTTATAACACTTTAAAATTGCAAAAAAAATGCATGTAGCAGTCACTGAAAATCAGAGAGAACCACAAATGATGATTTTTAGAGGTCTGTAATACATAATTGAAGTGTCTTCTCATAAAGACAAACCCTGCAATGTCTTTCACAGTATTACAATTAGTCCTGTCAAGTTTCCAATTCTCTTTCAAACTAGGGCCAAAGAAAAACCTTGCATGTGCACTTGTCCTCACTGCTGGAAACAGGTCAATCCAGACTTTCCAAAGCATGGGAAGGATCAGTGAAAGATAATTCGAATTCCAATGATTAAAATAGAACTATTATAAGGAATTTAAAATAGCCTACACTAATAAATAGATAGCCCTAATCATAGAGGTCTGTTAGGTCCATTTGTAATACGTAATAAAATCAGTACATTTAAGGAGAAGGAAAGCAGAAGTTATAAACATAGAATCCAGTGAAATAGTTCCATACATAATTGCTGCATTGTAAGTGAACAATAGCATCTCATATTCTACCTTTTTTTTACTACAACTCAGTGTCATGAGTTGTGTTACCTGGGCTTGCAATGCTGGAAATTGGACATAAATTATGGCTACTTTCTACTGACCTATATATTAAATGATCAAGAATTATAGAAGTTTCATGCTATAGTCTGTTCTGCATGTATATTTAGGGAGAATGAGAAGAATATTAAAAAATGGTTGTTTCTTCTATTTCAAATAATAAAAGTAGTTGTTCTGCTACATATACATAAAGCATTTCTCCCAAGGAGAAGTCAGAGCTAAAATAAAAATTACTCCTGTGAGTGGTTTGCCACATGATCTTTTTTATGTTTTGAAAGGTCAAAAACTGTGGGACAAATCTAATAAACAGATCTCAGAAGTATTCTATTCAATATCTGAGGAAACATTACAGAATGGTAGAATTGGAATTTTGCTACACTGAAATGCCGATTGTTTTGAGATCTTTTGTCTTGTAATTATGAAGGTGGCTCAGTTCCAAGTGAGTCACTGATTGGGTAAGCCCCTTTCCAAAGGAGAAAATAGAAGCATTCTTTAGAATTTCTGTATGCTGATATTAGAAAGTGTTCAAAGTGATGCTTGGATCTTCTTTCCCCTTTTCTGTACTGAGCTTTACAAAAGAGTGCACGTCACCAGTAAGAAGCATAACAGCAGGTTAACCACCTCCTGTACAATCAGTAGTTCAAAGTCATTTGCATTTTTGGAGAAACACTTCCTAAGTATTTCTACCGTATGTAGAAAATAACCTTAAAAAAATCTGAGGAATCCCCAGTCCTTTCTGGCTATTTTCTTATTGAAAATAAATAAATAAATAAACAAGAGCAAAAAGGGAAACTGTGGTAACATAAAGGCAGTGTACTTGGAAATATCTGTCAAAATCTTATATCTTCAAAATGATTTTACACAATTCTTAATTTTATTATTTTTAATACTTATATCTATTTATATACTTGTATACAATTCTGCAGACATAATTTTGACTGCAGTTGCATGTGTTGATTGTAGGTGACAGGACAAAAACGTTGGGTTCTCTAACTATGGACGCACATTTCATTTTTCAGTATGCAGTAGTAGTAAAATTATGATGGTATACCTCTGTCTATACAGTCAAGCTTCTGTTTCAAAGATTATAGGTGTGATCATTATCTCACTCATGCTGACTCTTCTTCAATATCATATCACCTGTTTCAGTGGAACTGGTTGTGATTTAAGTTGGCAAGGACAAAATCAGCCTTCATGATGATTAAAGCTGATAACCGCTCTCTATGAAATACAGTAATTTTGACACATGTTTGCACAATGTTATATTGCTACTTGCTCTACTTGCTTCCCCAACATCGCTCCCCCTTTCTTTTTTTTTTTTTCTTTTTCTTTCTTTTGCTATAGACTGTTTCTTTACCCTAAAAATATATTGAGGCATTTATCATATGAGCTAAAGTGTGTAAAGGTGCTGTACTTGACTGGAGCGTATACAAACCTTCTACAATAACACAAATAAATGAAAATAATTGACATATATCTTGTCCGTTTCTTACTAAGGATAACTGTTTTATAACAGCACTATCCAGCCCAGTATCCATGTGGTATCTAGTACACGTCCTTAGGGGGGTGAAAAAAATCAGAACAGAGCAAATATATCCTCAGTGAGGGAGCAGTTGGAGTCTGCAGACAATGTGGAGCATTACTTCAGAGGAGCAAACTGCTATTCTAAAGGCTGGGGACTGAAAGTTAAAGGTAACAACTGAAATGATTTTAGTGTTGTTCTTACAGCAGAAACTTCCCAGAGGCCCCAAACACTTTTCATTCCTTCCCTTGTGCCAGAAGCACCAATTCATTCCTACACAGGATTCAAATTGCACAGCTGTTCCCTCGATAACTTCCACAATGCAGTTTGTTATTGCTAATACAGAAATCCATAGCACATAGAAAAGCGGAAATAAAATGCAAGATATCTAATGGCTGGATACTTTTAGGATGACTTAAAAGAAACCATACAGGAACACTTCAGGATTTCTATGGCAAACTGAAGTTTTCTGGTGGGAAGAAGTCAGCATAAGTCATTGACATCTTCTTCTTCACAGAGGGAGCAACCTGAATTGATGCTTTAAGGGAAAAGAAGAGTATGATATAAACACAGTTTGCACCTGGAAACCATGCTTACTATGCTCTGCATTGCCCACAGTGGGAGAATGATGCTGCAAACTCACCTGGTCTCTTCTTCAGCTTCTGCAACAGGAATGATGCTATCCCCCTGAACATGGAAATGAAAAATACGAAAGACATGCTGTGTTGGAGTTTTCTTCTAATTGCTTAACTTCAGAATTTCGCTCATCTGCTACCAAAGTGTTAATTCTCTGGGACTCTTCATAGTAGTATCACTCCTATATATTTACCTATGAAATTCTTCTAGTAGATGAATTGTTTACTCATAAACCTTCAATTTCCACTTCACTTATTTAAAGTGAGTTTCTTCTTTCAGAATGAACATGGCTTTAATTTAATTTATCTCTAAGTAGCGCAGAGCAGAGCTTCATTTTAAGGAGAATAGAAAAATTGTAATAGTACATTTCCATCTATAAATTTTACCCCATTGTATTACAACAGTTTAGGAACTTATAATATGTACACTTTAATATATTCCATATTAAAGCAATCTCACATAAAATATCCATTGTTGCTATTTATTTTCACTTTTTACAGTGATTTCTATTCCAAAAATAAAGAAGAGGAACTTTGGGTTTTGGTTTGTTGATTTTTTTTTGTTTGTTTGGGTTTTAAGTTGAATTGTGTATGTTTAATAAATGACATCTTCTATTGTCAGATGTAATGTAACTTTCTGTTACATTAACATGAATTGTATTTAGTGAAAATAAAAGATTTGAATCCAAAATCTTTACGTATTAGACAACGTTTTTTCATTTTTTATGTGTTCTTGTAGGAACGTGTATATTGTTATAGATTGTTCTTCATCTTCCCATAAGGGATAAACCAGAAGCAATTATAATTTAGTAGTGTTCTGTATGCTAAAAATGTGTGGTGACACATGATGGAGTCCAATATACCTATCTGATTACAGTTTGCTCTTTAGGCATAGGACAAATAACTACTAGATGGCAATGTCAAAGTAAGACACAATTACACAATGAAATATTAATGAAAATACATTGCACTTACATCTCAATGACATCTAAATGGGAATCAGTTATCAGATCTTCAGTGTTTGCAACAAATTTCTACTCTGCAAAAAAAAAAAGAAAAAGCCCAGTGAACTTTTAAAATGTCATGCAGCGCCAAGTCTTCAAATACATAATTTACTATTTTGTTGGCTTCCTATAAATGGATAATAATAAACTTCTAGCTCAATACAAGCTCATAAATGCTGAATCAAAAGTGTGAAGAACACCATGAAATGATAAATGTGGAACTTTATGATACTAATTTTCTTCTAAGTAGAAAATGTAGCTGGTGTTGAAAATGTGAATGGAAACATCGACATTCTGCTTCTGCAGAGCAAAGTTTTAATAGGGAAGAATCTGTGGCTCTGTAAGTTTCTCCATTCAACAGCAAAACAGTAGCTGCATTGCTGTAATCTCAGCTTAAATTTAATAGCTTTCAATGAGCAGTATATTTTCAGAACCATTTCTGTTATACTTGCCTTTTTGGTACACTCATATTTATTTAAACATATGAAAAGTTGACTGTTGTATTAATCAGAGGAATTAATGAAGTTATTTCTCTTGAAGAAGTTTTACTCTTAATCAAAAATTGATCTATGTGTTATATTTCAAAAAGGCATATAACATTTAATGGTATTATTAGAAATTTTATTGTTAAAATAATTTACACCAGCCATAATTATAATCTATTTTAAGTTACTACTGTAGGTTGAATGATAATAAGAGTTTCTCAGTTTTGGTTCAGTTTTAATAGCATACAGACTACATTTCAAAGTCTCTGTTCTGCTGATCAGTGCTCTTTATGTTTCCTGACTTGATGTTCTCCTCTTTATGGGACATGATCTCCCTTGCTGGGTATATTGTATTAAATCAGTAGGTGTGACTCGACCTGGGCAGGCTAGTGAAAGGAACAAAACTTGGTAAGTGTATCAGGTCATGATGACTGTAAAATCTTTCATTTGGATAAATTTGTCTAAGGCTATAAAACACCATTATGTGGTTCCCAGCCCTAGTGGATTCACATGCATACTTGAGCTAAAACATAACTAATTCCTTTGATTAGATTGGAGAGGTTGAGTGCACCCCTGCTTGCTCTGATTGATTCCTTGGAAGGAATCCTATATTTATAAGGGAGTACTTTATAGCCTGATCTCTTTCGGACATGGTTTCAGTGTGTCGCTTAGAATCGGCAGCCCGTGCCATACTGTGGGACACCTCCATATAACATGCATTCAGCTAGAAGAGATTTTGAAATGATTTGTCCAAATGTTCATACTGACGACAACAGAAAGGTTAATGAAGTAGTGAGGTAAATTGCACTGGATAAATCCTGAATTTTTTTTTTTTTTTTTTTTTTTTTTACATTGTTATCATGCCTTGTGACTACAATCTATGCTGCTTTGTTTTGATGCAACTTGAATTCAACATTTTTTGTGTATGAAATTTAGACCTTTTTTTGCAGTTTTATATTTAAAAATGAAGTCTTAAAGTTCAGACATTTATTACCATGTTAAGATAAAAGAACCTGTCTTAATTACAGCACTGTTATAACAATGATTTAATGAAATTCCTGCTCTGTTCACATTAAATCTTTGTCATGAGCTACAGCATTGTGGAATATTAATGTTGCACGTATTTTTTTATTCACACTACATAGTCTAATGATACACCTTAAAGTAGCAAAACTGTCTGAGTTAATTCTTTTCGTGGTTTAGGATAATATTCTTGGGGAAAAAAAAAGGATTAAAAAGTCCTTCAACACATATATACTAGCTCTCTTTTTTGTTTCTCTTTTTTCAAGTATGTTTAGAATGGACACATAATCCACATATGCAAACTATAAATTGTTTTGCAGTCATTTCTGTGGTATCTATTTTTAAATGTGGTAGAGCCTTAAACCGCTGTTTAAGACAATAGTATAACAATATATGGAAAAATAGGGAAGATAAATATGATATAAATTACTAGCTAGAAAACAATTTTGAGAGGAATGGGCTTGGGATGATCTTAACCTATGTAAATACCTGAAGAGAGGGTGCATAGATGACAGAGTTAGGCTCTTTCTGTAGAACTCAGTGACAGGACAAGAGGCAATGAAACTTCCTTCTGACACTTTTGACTGTGAAGATGCCTGAGCACTTGACCAGGCTACTGGGATTATGGAGACAACCAGCTCTAGGTGGCCATGGGTTGGATCAGAGG